GGGCAGGCGGTGCGCCGGTGCGGCGGGCAGCCGGGTGTTGGCGCTTCCTGCGCGGAACTTTGGGTGTAACAGCGTGGACCTGCGTGTGCGTCTGTGCGCGCCCCAAGTCTTTGTGTACAACTCGTGCGTGTATCTGTCGACTGGGTTTTGTGAAGCTTCATCCACGCCGGCTCTATGTCTGTCTTTCCGCGTGTTAGTGCGCGCAGGTTGGTGGTGGTGCTGGGCCCCGGGTGGGTCTGGCGTAGACCTTAGCAGTCCTGGGGGTAGTTAACTGTGTGTGTGTGTGTCCAGCCTTATCCCTTTTGGGTGCGATTGCCTGTGTGACCCGTGAATCTGTGGGTCACATCGTGTGGCTCCCCATGTCTGTGGGTGCTGCGGGTGGAAACGGCCCCTGGGGTGTGACTGTAGGACTGGGGGGTGCCTCTCAGGTCTTGTGGGACTGCAGGTCAAATTGGAGTGTCACTGGTACAGTTGCCATGTGAGCAGTGAACTCCAGCATCTTTGTCAGTTTGCCCGTTTCTCCTTATGTTTTGGGTTATTGATTGGGCATGTGGGCATCTCTGAACCTGTTGTGTGAGAGAGACTCCCCTTTTCTCTGCCCTCTTCCTAACTCTGGCATCCCGAGGAAAAAGTTTCGGGTTCCTGCTGGTGAAAGCCCTGCTGCCAGAATCTGGGTGCCCTGGATTTCCTCTGGGATACGGAGGCATCCGTGTGCCAAGCTGGGAAGGTGGTTGCTGGGCCACTCCAGGAGCTGAGTTCTCTGGAGAGTGCTGAAAACTGGGGGTGGGGGGCACATCTGGACATCCACTGGGCAGCAGCTGTCATCACCAGTCCCTGTTTGTGCTGGGCACTCAGGAAAATGCTTTTGGTGCAAAGAGTAGAAAAGCCAAACAATCTATCTCTCCTCTCGGTTTACTGGGAGTGGGAGCAGTCGGCTGGGCCTGGCCTTGAGTTGGCCTCCCTTATCCTTGTATGGGAGAGATTGTCTCCCTGGGCAGGTTGCCAAGCCACTCGTGGGGGCTGCCTGTGTTCTAAGCCCTGGACAGAGGGGGCTGGGGATCCAGATGGAATCCACACACATCCCTCCCTGCCCTCAAGCTGCTAATAGTGGCTGATAAGTAGTGGGAGAAAGTAGAGCGAGGGCGGGTGGAATGATGCCGCTGGTGCAGGAGTGTGTGGGTTTGCAGGTTTGCAGGTGATAACAAGAAGCTGTGCTTGCCTTCGGGTGCCCACATGCACGCCATGGGATCTTGGCCACGTTTTGTCAAGTGGAGAGAGTAATTCCTGCGCTCGGGGCTGGTGAGGGTTATAGCAGATACTCCGGAGGGAAGTGCCCACCGTAGGGCCCAACAGGGAGTGGAGGTGCTCAGTAAACACTTACTAAACGGGAACTCAGGAAAGAAGAATGTGGTGATAGAATTGGGTTGTAAGTGGAAACAGGCTTTGTACTCAGATGAAAGGCTCTGTGTGAGCTAAGAGGTGTCCAATGCAAGTCCATGTTGGAAAAAAGATCAGAAAGATAGAAAAACGTGTCTTCCTGCACTGAGGCTCTTTGAGTTTCATTTATTCACTCATTCATTTCATTCAGTTTTCACTTCATTAACTAACTCATATCCCCTCTCCCCTGCCCCATCTCCCCCCCCCTCTTTCACACACACACACACACACACACACACACGGAACAACAATGCACTGGAAAATAAATTCAGGCATGAGAGTGCACAGAGACATCTAGAATCATGTGTATGGGTGTATGTAGACACACCAGAGCGTGTGAGCCACTCTGCAACTGGAGGGTCTCTGTACAGTGTGGAGACTTGGGTCTGTGTGCCTCGGGCCCTGGGTATGTACTCCCAGGACATCGGGTGTGTGGGGAACAGAGTAGTTCTGCTGTGGGACCGGGAATTTTACATGCCAGGTGGGGAAGGGGGCTTTGATGGGACCTGGGAGGGACGGCACTGAATCTGCTAACGGGAGGCCTCCATCAACTTCAGCTGAGGTGTTGTGAGGAAATGGGTGCCTAGGGTGTTGAGATTCTTCATTTTATAAGAGAAGCCAGGAACCCAAAGCTTAAAATGTAAAATATCTTGCTTTATTTATATATTGGCAAATACTTCACCAAAAACAAATGAACAGACCAGAAACAAACAAAACAAACAAACAAAATCCCCCAAAACTTCTGTGAGCCAACATTGGCCCATGAGCCATAAATTGGTATCCTTTGGCAGGAATGCACTTGTGCTGTCTACCTGTCTGTGCGGGAGTGTGTTCTGGTTTTGGGTGGGATACCTCCTCTTTGAGCAGCGTGCTCCCCCCCTCCCCTCCCCCTCTATCTCCCCATCTGCAGTCCTCAGCCAGCCCCCTCCAGCCCCCAGCTTCTACTTACACGAAGGCATTTGGCTTTGACTTCAGCGTGGCTCTCAAGTATGCTCCTTCCTCTCTGTCCCCACCCGTGCCTCCCCTGACCACATCGGAGTCCTCCCTGGACCCCTGGCCTCCACACAGCAGCCAGAAAGAGCTTTCTGAAACCTAGGCAGTCCTCCCTGTCCCCACAGCTCACCTCCCTGACTCCTTGGCCTGACGTGTAGAGTCCTTTGAGACTGGATTCCCAGCTGACCTGTGAGGTGCCCCATCCCCGTATCCCCACTCATCCTCTCAGATCTGGCTCAAATGCCGCCCACTCCCAGAATCCTCCCTGACTTTCTCTGCTTTGTTCCCACACCACCGCCATCACCTCTGTCCCTCCCCTGCTCCTCGTCATCCTCACTTCATCACAATGGTGTCCATTAATTGAACTGGCTGGGCCTTACATGCATTATTTTATGAAACCCACAAGTTGACCCTGTGAGGGAGGCACTTCGCTTATTCCCATTTAACAGATAAGAACATTGAGGGTGGAGAGGCCACATCGCTTGCCCAAGCCCAAGTGGTGAAACTGGGATTTAAACCTGACAGCCACTGTGTCCACCATAAAATAGCCCGTCGCTGATCCTTACAAGCACTTATTGTCATGAGAGCTTTGTATGGATTATCTCAATCCCTACATCAGCCCCCATTAAATAAGGGAGGGGCAGTAGTACCGTCATTTAATAGATGGGGAAACCGAGGCCCAGAAAGGATAAATGAATTGCCCAGAGCCACCTGCCAGCCAGGGGTGGAGCAGGATCCTAGCACGGATTGTCTTTGTCTCATTCCCACCTCCCCGCTCTCTGGCAGGCTGCCCCTGGTGGGAACTGCACATCGCTTGGGGTCCAGTGTGCCGTCCAACACCAGCAGGATCTTGGTCGAGGTTTGCTAAATTCTACTGACTTTCTGTTTTCTCTTCCAGCTGCCAAGGGGCCAAGGGATGAGCTGGGGCCCTCCTTCCCAATGGCATCTCCCCCTGGTCTGGAACTGAAGACACTGAGCAGTGGTCCCCAGACCCCAAGGAGACCAGCTCCTCTAGGCCTCGTGGCCCCATCCAGGCAGGGTGTGGAGAACGCCTGCTTCTCCTCGGAGGAGCATGAGACCCGTTTCCAGAACCCTGGGGATGTCAGACTGGGCAGCTCCCCCAGCCCTCCCGGGGGTGCACCCTCAAGGCCCCGGTCCCAGCGGGATGACCTGTCCCTGCACTCAGAAGAAGGGCCAGGCCTGGAGCCCGTGAGCCGCCCGGTGGATTATGGCTTTGCTTCTGCTCTGGTTTTCCTGGTGAGTGGGATCCTCCTGGTGGTGACAGCGTATGCCATTCCCCGTGAGGCCCATGTCAACCCGGACTCGGTGACAGCGCGCGAGATGGAGCGGCTAGAGATGTACTACGCCCGCCTGGGCTCCCACCTGGACAAGTGCATTATCGCGGGCCTGGGGCTGCTCACAGTGGGCGGCATGCTCTTGTCCGTGCTGCTGATGATCTCCCTGTGCAAGGGCGAGCTCTACCGCCGGCCGACCTTCGTCCCCTACAGGGGCTCCAGGAAGACCTATGGCTCCATTAACCTGCGCATGAGACAGCTCAGTGGGGATGGGGGCCAGGGCCTGGTGGAAAACGAAGTTGTCCAGGTCTCAGAGACCAGCCGCACGCTCCAGGGGTCTTAATTAGGAGCTCCCCTGATCTGAAACCCAAGGCTACAAGCCCCCCAAGGCCTTGGGTTTTAGACTGAGCTCCACACAGGGGCCTAGGGCAGGAGTCTTGGGTGCTGGAAGGGGAGGCCAGGGCCGGGCTCAGGCTCCCCTGCAGAGGGTGGCCCCCTGATCTGTTTTGTAGCTTGAGGTTTTGTATAAGTTTTGTTCGGAGATGGCTTCTGCTGCTAAAAATACAGAAGTTCAGAAACTGCTGCCCTTGGAGGATGAGGTTTCTTGGCATTTCTGACAATTGAGAGCAGTTTGAAAGGCTGCCCATCCTGTTCCTCATGCCTTGGGAAATTCCAGAATCTCTGTATACAGTCTTCATCAGCAAAGTGTGGGTGCTGGGCGACTTTGGAGGGACCCCTTTCAGCCCTGACCATCTAAGGTGGGAGGTGGCTTCACAATGAGGGGAGAAGTCAGCACTGGGGTGACCCTCCCCTCTCCAGGACTCTGTCCCCCTGACTGTAAAGTGAGGGTTGGACTGGACGATCCCTTGGGCGCCTCCAGTTCTGCCCTAGGATGAGCGCCATTATCTGCCTCTGGCCACTCCTTCAGGGAGAAAGGTGTTCGGCAGGTACTGACCATTCTCTGTGCCGTTTTCTGGGCCGCTTCAGGAGCTCTCACAGCCCTGCTAGAGTTCCCTAAGCCTCCCGGTGATGCCAGGTTAAGTCCAAAATTCGCTACAGCCTGGTTTTGGTCTTGGGATTGAATTTCCTGCAGTGACTAGATCTTAGCACACATTTCACAAAGTCAAGTGCACAGTTTTCACCAACTCCCTGAACAAGAGGGGTCTTTTATGCAAGAAAGGGTGAGGGCTTTGCTGTGTTTCTATGGACACGAGGTGGCCCTGCATTACCTCCCCCTTCTCCATAGTATTTCTCGTGGGCCTGACTTTATTCTGATAGCAGAAAAAAAAATTTTTTTTAGTGCTGAATTTGTAATCTCTCCCTCTCCTCCAGCCCTTCTCAGCAGTAAAGTGCAGTCCCGAAATATCTGGGGGGGAATCAGGCACATTTGGGTGGCCTGGAAACTCTGATCACGGTTTGTTCGTTTCTCTTGTGGAGTGTTCCCAGGCTCTGTCCAGACTCTTTTTAAACTACGGACAAGGAAAGGAAGTGAGTTCTAGGGGGCAAGGAGATACAGGTGTTTGAGGACTGGGGGAGACTCTGTCCAGTCTGAATGGCCTGGGAAGGCTTTGAGAGTCCATGCCTTCTAGGCCATGGGCGGGAAGGGGTCATTTCAGTGAGCCCCCTGACTCCGTGCAGATCCTGTTTCACTCCATCTCCACTGGCCATGTGGGCCTTGGATCTGACTGTCCCTTGGGGGTGGGCAGGTGGGGTGGGCATGGGGTCTGTAGGCTAGAGCAGCCCTGATTAGAGCTGTAACCTGAGCCTCCAGTCTGGTGAGTGGCACATGGGGCAGTGTAACATCACAGCTTCTATGGGAGATCAAGTATCTGCTCCTGCCGGCAGGTTTTGCCAGAAGCAGAGGGCTAGGGGAGGGCTGGAGGGCACAAGGGCTGTTCAGCTTGGCCTGCCAGGTGCTGCTCCTGGTGATGAAGGGATGTGGTGCAAAAAGAACAAGGCTTCAAGATGTGGAGAGATTCACAAGCCAGGGCTTCCACCACGGTGCCCATTTCCCCTGGGCTCCCCGTGAGGAGTGGATGCAGAAAGTGGCACGAGCCATTCTAGGGAAACGACAGTAGAACTGAGCATCCCAAATGATGAGCCAAGGCCCTTCAAATTCATAATGATAATAAAAACACAAACCCAGGCCATATGGGTTCCTGGGATAGTGGGGGGCCCATTTGGAGACTAGACCCGTGGAGTAGATGCACCTGGGATCATCAGTTCCTATAATTTAAATGCAATGAATTGTATTTAGGAGCTAAATCAGAAGATGAAATCCCAGGAATCTCAGGTTTTCTCTAAGCCAGAGAAGCCTGCTTTGCATCCTAATGCAGAAATTCCTTTAGAAAATGTGTGTAATGGATTGAGGCAGTCATTACCTTGTCAGTGAATTAGGAAAACCTGAGAGATGCCAAAAACATTTCTCCAAGGTTGCAGCTGAACTCTCCCAGCAGTGGATGGGAATGAGGTTAGGGAGGAGTCAGCAGGGAGGGTGGCAGAGGGAGCCGAGAACTTCCTTTGCAGGATTTTGGGGGGTACGTGTGGAGTGGTCCCACAGGACCGGTGGCCACTGGAATGGGGCTCACCTCCAGGAACGGCCTCTCCCACCAGACATGCTACTGGGGCGCAAGTCTTGCTTCTCCTGGCGCATTAGAACAGATAGCGACTTGGGAGTTGGGAAAACTGGGTTTGAACCCAGGCTCTGCTCTTTACTGGCTGTGTGACATTAGGCAAGTTATACTCCACCTCCGAGTATATTGCCTTCTTTATCTGTGAGGTGAGAAGAATGAAAGCTCGGGCTCAGGGAGGTGGTAAGAGATGAGCTAGAGACCTGCATGGTCCGGTCAGTGCTCGCTCTCCTCCCTGCCTCAGTGGAGACAACTGGATTAGGCCTAAAACCTCAGGGTCAACTGCCTTTATTCTCTCACGCCTCCTTCTACCCATCGGCAGATCTTTGTTCTGTCTTCAGAATCTGACCCTCTGCTGCCCCCCCTCTGCTCCCCATTCAGCCTCCACTCTGCAGCCAGATGAATCCTGTGAAAAGGTTAATTGGGGCAGGTCACTCCTCAGCTCAGAACCTTCCAATATGGCTCCCTCTCACTCCAGGCAAAAGCAGAAGTTGTTGCCCTGTCAAAAGGAGGGTTTACCGTGCAGGCCCCTCACTTGCATAGGCTCCAAGGTCCCGAGTCAAGTTTTTATTTATAATTTTAATTTTTAAAAGGATGACCCCCTAAATTGCCTAAGTTTTAGGTCCCTCACAAGCCTATATAATAAAAGCCTGATATGCAAATTGTCCCCTCGGGTGGTTGTTCGACCGGGAGACCAGGAGTTCAGCTGCTCGCTATGATGTGTGCTGACCACCATGGCAACGTGCTGTGACCTCTTGCCAGCTACCTGGGGGTGATGGGGATGGAGGTGCGGTGAGAATGCAGGGTGTCCCCGAGCTCACTCTCACTCCCCCTACTACCCTCCCCCAGGATGCCAGGGTTTGGCTCTGGGGAAGCCCCCACCCCC